TTTTGTAGAATGACAAATCACATCAAATCAAACACACTCTAATAACGTAAAAAACTTAACCAAAACAAATGTGTGCTGGGTCTTTACCCACTGCGCATGTCGGGAGTTGAATTTAAAAAATACGACCTTAATGGTCACACAAAAGCCACAATTAATTTTCCTTAAATTGTATTCAAGCCTTAACAAGATTTTAGAACATAAATATGATGTTTCTATGCTATTCTAGAGCTGAGCGCATATTCAGATTTTAGACAAATCTAAACAAAGATGCTCTAGTGATTTGAAGACAAAATTTTAAAACTTTTTTTGGAACCGCGAAGAATTCATTGAATAAAAGGAATCGTACTTTATAACGCTAGAGTTTTTCATTTTACTCACATCAATGCGATTAAGTGTTTTAAAAAAAAAACATTTTTGTATAATTTTTCGTTTTAAATGACGAAAAAAAAAAACCATGATGTATATAATAAATTAAATCGAACCTAAAATGTATCACACCGGCGCACAGACAGATCATTCTTAAATGGAACGTCTGGCCACGAAATAAAAATCCCATTATTTTAATAAACCGTATCTTTGGACGTCAATTAGGCCACGATTGAGCCGAAAGCCACTAATCCTCCGAGATAAAGCACCGATCCTTTATTAATCACTCGATACAATCGAATTAATTTACTCGATTCGACCATATCCGAGATATCGATATGGTACCGAGTCCAGCGCCGGTCACCGGGTATTTGGATAAACAGGTTTTTTTAATTACTCAATAGGAAGGGAATGTTGGTACGTCCGCGTTATCAAATAATTATTGTGAAAATAATAAAAGGATAATATTGCATTTTCAATGTTGCCATCGACAATTCTTCATGGTAACAGGAAAAAATATTTCATTTTTCACTTTAACGAAAGTTTTGTCGTCGTGGCCTAAAGGATAAGACGTCCAGTGCATTCGTTGTTGCGATGCACCGGTGTTCGAATCCCGCAGGCGGGTACCAATTTTTCTAATGAAATACGTACTTAACAAATGTTCACGATTGACTTCCACGGTGAAGGAATAACATCGTGTAATAAAAATCAAACCCGCAAAATTATAATTTGCGTAATCACTGGTAGGACCTCTTGTGAGTCCGCACGGGTAGGTACCACCGCCCTGCCTATTTCTCCCGTGAAACAGTAATGCGTTTCGGTTTGAAGGGTGGGGTAGCCGTTGTAACCATACTGAGACCTTAGAACTTATATCTCAAGGTGGGTGGCGCATTTACGTTGTAGATGTCTATGGGCTCCAGTAACCACTTAACACCAGGTGGGCTGTGAGATCGTCCACCCACCTAAGCAATAAAAAAAAAAACTAACAGTTAACTTCAGCGTCAGATACGTTAGGAATTAGTGCAATAGAATGACCAATTACATGTCTCCATAAATAGTTAGTAGATCAAATATGTGAACTACAGAAAGATAAGATCGGTAGGCAGCGGCTTGGCTCTGCCCCTGGCATTGCTGAAGTCTATGGGCGACAGTTACCACTCACCATCAGGTGGGCCGTGTGCTCGTCTGCTACAAGGGCAATAAAAATAAAAAAAAGTTGCAGCTTTAGGTAGACAAAGGCTTGGCTCTGCCCCTGGCATTGCTGAAGTCCATGGGTGACGATAACCACTCATCATCACCTCAATATTCTAAAAGTCAAATGTTGTTCTACCACGATGATCACGAGTAAGGTGTTTTTCACTGTTGGCGCGAGTTGCTGCTATCAAAGCCGAACGAAGACATAGTTACTCTTTAATTATATATGTCAACGGCAGAAAGATAAAATATTGTAAAAGCTAAATGTTATTATACCACGATGATCACGAGTAGGTGTTTTTAACTATTGGTGCGTGTTACTAAAATCAAGACATAACTAGTCTTTTCCTACATAGTCACACAAAGAGAAGACAGTCGATACGACTCTCCTAGTTTTCATTTCAACGTATCAGCTGACATTCAAAGATTACCTAGGGAAGCAGAAAAGTGGAATAAAATTAACAGATCGTGATCATTTATCGCACTAAGTAAATGGATTCTCGTCTATCGCGTTTTATGCTGTCACCGAAGTCGTGTCCGTAGTCAGTAGACAGCGACTGGTTTGTGTCCCCAGTACCTACTGCTGATGTTCTTATGTAATGTTGATCAGTCAGCATCAGTTGGGCCGTACGTTTGTCTGCCTATAATGGTATAGAGGTTATGACAGAAGGAAGATCTTTTCCACCGAGCCGGTAGACCGATGATGTTGTTGTTTTTTTTCCTACCTATTCTAGTAACCTCGAGGGGTTATTCTAGATTCGCCGAGTTAGTAGGTGAGCTCATGGGGCTCAAACCTGATGACGTTGCTAACACTAACCCTAGCAAGAAGCGTGCTTCGCAGAATCTACCACCGGATCCGAAACGCGACCAACTGAGAAGATCCGGCGAGAAACTCAATGGGCTGTGTCTGTGGGTTAATTTACTCGCCGAGCCCTTCGTCGCAAACGACGGGTTCGACGAGAACGATGACTAGTGCTTGAGGTACCTAAAAGCACCGTTACTGGATCGGGAGAATCCGAAATGACGTATTTTGGGCGACGTCGACTGCTTTCCATTCGGTCCGCAGTTCGGAACATGTATATATCCAAGTTATCTCGAAAATCTCGTAAGTGAGATTCAGGTATATGTCAAATATCTTGTGTTGTACGATGGCTACCCGTCACAATGGCATTTAAGAAAAAACATTGTTCATGCATTCCGATCCGAAGATTGGGACAGCCTTGGTGCGATATAACTGAGTCTTCGATTTGACAATCACGCGGGCTTCGGTTGTCTGTACACTTATCGTACGCTTAACACCAGATCAATCATGAACTCATTCAGTCATATAGAGCAACAGACCGGCATCACACAGCTGCATCTTCTGACGAGCATCCCTAACTAATAGACCTACTAATTGCCTCGTAAGACCCTCTGACTTCTTTTCTGGTAATAACGCTAAAAATCAATAATTGAAACTAACCAAAATCACGTCAGAATACGCCTGCCAAACAAAACACTAAATCATCGACAAATCATAGTTTCTCAAACCAATAAAACTCCGATGACGTCCGTCAGATAAGCATAAAGATAGTCCATAAATTTCGATACACTCTATGAAAACACGTAGCAGGTGGTATCGGATCTCGGCAGCATAATTGCCCATTAAAACGAAATGGCTCTTAAAATAAGCGAAATGCCTATTCAGCGCACAATGAAATAGCGAGGATAGCACATTATTAAACCACGAAGGATTACACTTGAGCACAATTAAAAGTAAGCAGCGACAGACGGACCTAACTCAGATGCAAATACCGCATCACACTATTTATGGTAAAAAGATTACATTGTACGAGAGCAATAGCTTATCTGGACATCACGAATGGGCTCACCGTTTAATTTATTGCAATAAAACAGATAAATGGTGGTTGCGAACGTTCCGCGTTCCTATAAATCGAAGAGCTTCCACTACTAGTTCGCGCATGATAAATGCGAGGACGCGTACCGTTCGGAATGTACATCAACCCTCGTTTGCTTTCAATTTATCGTCGCTTATAAAAGTATTTAATAAAGCAGTAATGGACTGCAACACAAACAATGTTTTCGTTATTTAAAAGCACGCTCCGTATATCATATTGGTGTTTTTAAGTAATGTCACGGAGAACCAATAACATCGTTTTAAATGCTCACGTCCGAGTTCCGCTAGAGTGAAATTTACAATTTCAATATTTAAATCGAACCTATTTCCGGTACTTCTTAATTTACATACATATATTTTGTAGATATACCTACATAGATTCAAGATGGGTGGCGCATTTACATTGTGGATGTCTATGGGCTCCAGTAACCACTTAACACCAGGTGGGCTGTGAGCCCGTACACCTACTTAAGCAATAAAAAATAAAAAAATAGTTACTTAAACACGAAGAGGATCTATACGATTACTAGCTGGCCCGGCAAACGTTGTTTTTGCCATATAAATTATTTCTAGGAAAGATAAATAGCCTAGATACCGACTGCAGCGCCATCTGCCGGGCTGATTTGTGAATCTACACCATCTAGGGCACGACCCAAGCGCACACAAAAAAAAATCATTCAAATCAGTCCAACCGTTTAGGAGGAGTTCAGTGACAAACACACGTACAGAAGAAATATATATATATAAAGATTATTATGCATCGATCCAGTTTCCCTGCGAAACCTTTTACCGTACCTACGAATGTTCCAGACTATAATTTTTATTTGCAAGATAAACTAGTCACCCGATCCATTATTTATTTCATTGGCTAAGAGCTTTACATGTTTCGATATCTTGTATTTTCTCATAGATACATGGTTTTGCTTAGCATGATCACCGCGAAGTAAGATACAATTTGCGTGTGGTCCGATTCGCATGGCAGATCGTTTAAATGCGAACAAAGTTGTCGATGCGTTTTGAATAAAACTTAATATCCATCGATTATGCGGCTTGTGATAAAAATTCTTACAATGTTGGACACTTTGTAAGATTTCCGCAACAAATTCGAATCGTTTAGGTAACAATTAGTAAATGCAAATTAAAAATGTGTGATAAAATATTTCGGATTACCACATTTTTGTAAATGTTAAAGCGGTTTCATTTAAAATGTGATTGTGATGTGATTTTATTGGTGGTAGGACCTCTTGTGAGTCCGCACGGGTAGGTACCACCACCCCGCCTATTTCTGCCGTGAAGCAGTAATGCGTTTCGGTTTGAAGGGTGGGGCAGCCGTTGTAACTATACTTGTGACCTTCGAACTTATATCTCAAGGTGAATGGCGCATTTACGTTGTAGATGTCTATGGGCTCCAGTAACCACTTAACACCATGTGGGCTGTGAGCTCGTCCATCCATCTAAGCAACAAAAAAAAATTAAAAAATTTTTTTTTGAACAAGCCCACCCACGGCTCTAGAGCATTCGATGATAAGTTTTCTTTTTCCAGGCTTTCGCGAGTCTTCTTTCCTCTACGCGTTGACCGCAGCCGGAGTTGCCCATGCAATTGCAAAAGCCTGTGCCCAAGGTCGACTCCTTTCGTGCGGGTGTGACGCGCTTGGTTACAGAGGCTCGCACGACCACCGGGGACGGACGAGAGTCAATAATAAATGGGAATGGAGCGGGTGCTCTCACAACCTGGGCTTTGGTATTGAATTCTCGAAGAAGTTCCTCGACGTCAGAGAGAAGGTCGGCGACTTGCAGTCGAGGATAAACGTCCACAATAATGACGCTGGGAGATCGGTGAGTTTTTATTAATCGGTGGTCTCAATACTGCAGCGATTTCTACCTGGTTTTCTGGAAGTACCTTAACATAGTATTAATTTTTAAAAAATACGCTCACAAGTTTGCGCCTAATTACTATTATTGGATTACTCTACGTGAGTATTGTGATCCCCCATGCACTATTATACTTACTACCCACTCAATACCAGATAGGGCGAAGTTTCCTCTACTCATCAACAACGCTTAAGATAATTATTATAAATGCAAAATCTATTTTCACAGTTCCAGCAGTTTATTTGGAAATAAAATACGAAATATTTGTAATATTTAATTATTTACAAAATTTAACACTTGAATTAGAAGCGTTTAACATATTTGGATTTCTAATTTATTTCCCGTTGCTGTAAATTAAATAATTTCATATGGACAAAAAACATTCGGGCGAGACGTCGTCTCGCTGAATCATTAACTTGAAAAAACACAGATATATACAATATGACGTGCGTATTTCAATCAGCACCGATAAAGCAACTTAAAATGTATTAAACAGTGATTCTACTTTGACTTATTGGAGCAGTGGTATCTTTGGTCTTTCTAATGTGACACGTCTTCAATCATGGCCTTTATTACTAATATAATATGTACCTGTATTTTCTTTGTCCGTTTATTGCCCGTGTAGGCAGACGAGCATACGGCCCACCTGATGGTGAGTGGTTACCGTCGCTCATGGACATCAGCAATGCCAAGCCGCTTCCTACCACCTACCTACCTACTACTAGTAACATTGAAGGGCTATACTAGCTTCGCCCTGACTGATGGGTGAGCTCACGAGGCTCAGCCTGGAAGAATTTGATAGCATCTGCCCTAATAAAAGCAGTGCTTCGCTAAATCTATCACCAGATAGGAATTGCAATAGCGCTGCTTTGTTTATTACTTCAATTTAGCAATATTTTACAAAATCGAAACAACTTGTACAGTACCCGGCGATAAATATTGCACATCGACCGTGGGAAAGACACGGTTAATTTTTGCTTCGTAGATCGTTATACCTGTCGCACATTACCTAATTGACATTTAGTCTCCATAGATACCGGATCGTTAGTGTTTCGTCGCACACAGGTAACGCCCTACAGCAAAAACAAAATTAGACGACTGTCTCTTTCTAAATATCGATGTGCCATTGCCTGGTACTGTACACGTGTTTGTATTTATTGTATTAACATTTAAGGTATATATAATTAATAATAATAATAAATAGCCTTTTATTCAGATCCTAGAAAATTTAAATTTAATGTAAACCTTAATCTAGTCCCTTATTTAAATTTTACACAGAGGCCTCCTCCAACCTTTTCCACTCATGTCTTTCTTGAGTCATTCTATTACATGTGACGCCTGGCACTTGTCTTATGTCGTCATCCGCTATTTTTGGTGGTCTACCTCTTTTTATTTTACCTTCTCTAGGATACCATCGTATCACAATTTTTCTCCATTTGACTTTTCTTCTTACCCTATGCTCTGCCAACGCCATTTAAGTCTCCTATCTACATACTTACTTTAAAATATTTATGATTGGTGTGGTGTATTATGATCCCGCATTGTAAGATACCACCATTCTCTCAGACGTTCCGGCTTGAAGGGTAGGTTAGTTGCTATTAAAATACAATAGATCTCATATTTTAATTAGATTCGATAAGTACTTCGCACCTAAAAGCCTATACTCATAAACCCACTTACAACAACAGAAGCATGAATGAATAACATAATTACGTCACACAAACTGATAACTTGAATTGAAAACAAACAAACGAATCTTATTTAAGTCAAGTATCATTGCAAAATATTCAAAAGACATTTTCAGGACTTAATTACTCAGTTGTGAATAACTTTGTTTATTTTCTACGAATGTCAGTGCATAATATAACCTTTGATCACTAGCCGAATCAAATATGTACATAATAATTTATTATTTTGTATTTTATTATACATATTGGATATTTTTACTTTTAAATTAATTACTTAATGCAATAGTGCTATAGTTACATTATAAATGTCGAAAAACAGGATCAGAATGTTTTTAGCAACGTATTTGTTATAATCATTATTGTCGAAATAATTTTTTTTATTGCCCTTGTAGGCAGTCGAGCATACGGCCCACCTGATGGGAAGTGGTTACCGTCGCCCATGGACTTCAGCAATGCCGGGAGCAGAGCCAATCCGCTGCCTACCGCTAAATAGTCTACAAAATTTTAAATTTATCTTAACATGTACAAAGTTAATGTTCAATTAAAGGTCTCAATACGAAGTTTAAATTATTTTTTTTAAAAAACGATCCAGTAAATTGTGTACTCTTTAGCAAAAAAAAAAAAAACTCGTATTTTCGTATTTCCAAAAACCAATTCCATTCATGTTACGCGTCCAAATTACGTTGACCTATAACGATATGAAGTTATCTCCCCGACACGGGTCTACTGTCGCCCACAATAGCCAAGAGGGGTTAAATTATGTAAGTGTCGAAATTGGTACGGCGAGGCGTCAAATGTTTGGTCCAAAATTGGAGAGCGGCTTGTGGGCGTGGCCGGGTAATCACCAATGTGGGTGGTCTACCAGTTAAGACTGCATACCTATAAAATATCATATTATATTGCATTGGTTCGCTGTATCGGTGATCACACCCCGTTTATGAGCTATAAAATAACCCATATGGCGTTCGATCGAAAGTATAAAAAAAAAAAAAACAAAAATACGCGCACCGCAATCAGCGCTTTTATGACATTTTAGCGGATTAAGACAATGAATTTTTAATAATACGATTAAACAATCTATTTTCGTGTTGACAAAAAAACCGTAATTGCAAATTCATTAATTAATGACGCTATTTTTCTAGATCATATAAGAGCTATCCAGAAAAAAAATCAGATGGTCGATGGTCGAAATCGAATAGCTGTTTTATTAATATACCTACCACCGCCCTGCCTGTTTCTGCCGTGAAGCAGTAATGCGTTTCGGTTTGAAGGGTGGGGTAGCCGTTGTAACTATACTGAGACCTTAGAACTCATATCTCAAGGTGAGTGGTGCATTTACGTTGTAGATGTCTATGGGCTCCAGTAACCACTTAACACCAGGTGGGCTGTGAGCTTGTCCAACCATCTAAGCAATAAAAAAAAAGTAAAAAAAAAAACGGGCAACCTCGCCCGATGTTAAGTGGTGGCAAGAGACCATTTAAGATACAGGATTGAGGTTTCAGTTGCATTGTAATAATTATTATTGTTGCGTTGTGGTAAATGAGAGTGGACTGTATTTATTGCCTTTGAGATATTTATTAGCCTTTATGTGAAAAATTAAAGATTGAAAATATGAAATCGATGCGTCACCCTTGGCGGCTGGAATTGAAAGAGAAAATGTTTGGCCTAAAGGTCTAGGATACCAGGCCATAAATTCCACAAAAAAAAGGGAAAAAGTGTCATAGCGGACATCAACTCAAGATTTTCTGATTAATATAGAATTATGGTCGAAAATTAATTCGAAGTTCGAAAATTATATATTATATAAGTTTATAATAAATATTATAATAAATAAATTCTGTGATGCACGTAATGTAACACGCACAAAACAACGCAATTGACGCTAGGTCTGTTGTCTCGGGTGATGAAGGGGGCCTCACGGCAATCCATACTCCACAACAACGACTGCTTAGTTCGGCAAATTAATATTTGTTTTTCTTATAGGTTAAAACGTAATTTACCTATCGATTTAACTTCACTTCCTTACATAGCTCACTTCAAGTTTTATCTAGTAACTAGTGGTCCTGCAGTAGTCGAAATTCGACTATAATTAATTGAAATTATAAGCTTAAACATTATTATGGTTATATTGTCATACTTCTATAATATGATCACAGATTTAGCCAAAACTACACTATGGATAAATAATATTAGAGATAAACAATATCAATCTCTTCTCAATTTGACTACAGACTTTAAACAAAAGTAAAAGTAAGACTTTAAACAAAAATAAAAGTTTGACAATTGACAATAAACAAAGAGTATATTTATATGTATGTGTTGTGTCAAATACATGGCAGTGTGTTTAATGTTTTTTTTATTGATTTAAGGTATTTATTACGCATAATTAAAAAAAAAATGCATTCTGCACTCCTTCTCTATATTCTATATAAGTGTGGGAAATTTCATACTCCTCCGTCCGCGCAATTTTCCTAAAAAGTGGTACAAAGTTTTTGCTTCATGTATTATAATATAAAGATACCAAAAATCCATCAAAAACAAACTAAACACGTAACATATACATAAATTCGATGTTTGAGCATCACGACTAGATAAATGCTGACACTACCGAATGACCGACAGCTAAGCCAAAATACCAGACCTACCCAAAAGGATTACTTCTAATAATTTAATAGGCCTCTACAATCTAATAATAAACATGTCAAACGAAAGCTAAATACATTATCACAAACGTAAATTTATCATTCAATAAAACGCCAAACTGATCAATACGGTCTCTTAGCAAATGAGATAAGAATCATAAGTCCGTTTTTAACTGCAAACATAAATTTGTCAAGAATATTATATTAGTGTCCGTAACAAAATCTGACATTTAAACGGCATACCAAGTCTCTTGCTTACTGATTAAAACCGATTTACGATACAATACATTTTACGTCCGTTTGTATTTTTTTTTTTTTTTTATAATACAAACACGAACGGCTAGATACAAATTATTTAATTTGTAATGCGTTTATAGTTGTTAATTATATATGTTAAAAATTGAGAGCGTAATTTATTCGGACCCACAGGCGGCCAGTGACATTTATAGCGAGATAATTAGTTTGTTTCCACTCTGAAGTCGTGTGATTTATGCGAAAATAAAACGAACGTAAACGGACAAACGTTAGGGGGACATAAGTCGTTTTAAAATAAAAATAAAAATAAAAACTGCTCCCTAGTCGAGTTTAATTATTGAAGATCGCTTCTGTAGTTTTGTGTTTTGTATTTGAAACT